CATTTTTTCTATTCTTAAATAATCAGACAAATAGTGTAATAATAATAATAATAATAATAATAATAATAATAATAATAATAATAATAATAAATAATAATAATAAATAATAATTACAATTAAATGGCTGTCAAGATAAATAATGATTGATACAATTAGAGGAATGCCTGATTGAAGTACTAAACAATTTCATTATGAACAGCGTGATTAATTTTTGATTAAATATGTTATAATTAATTTTTGATACACATTGCTAATATAACGTTGATTAATTTACGTATAATAATTTACGTATAATAATTTGTTATTAACGCACAAAAAAATTATAATTGCTTTATATTACATTAGTTAACCGATATCGTATGTACTAATTAAGTCGTCATTAGGCCGGAGATCCTTTAATTAAATTTCAAGGAAGAACGGACCCCGACCTATTTAATGATTTCTCTCTGTCGCTCTGTCCCAGGATTCCACATTTATACCTTCAACGAAAGCGTGCGCGCGGATAGGGAGGAGGACGAAATCTTGACAGTGAAATACGAGGATGGCAGATGGTCGAAACCGTATTACGACTGCGGGGGCGGCAATATCTGGATGCTGACCTACACGGTACCCTTCTTCGGATACGTCAACGATACCTACTTCTTCAAGTGAGTACGGATTTCTTTCATCACGCGGAGCGTACGATTAACTCAGTTCCCTATTTGACAAATCGATCTAGACAACGTAAAGATCTTTCGTAAGATCCTCCTCCGGTCATTCACATTTGCATTTTATTGCCCCCGCATTTCTCTCATCTCATATATATTTATTCGTAATAAACGATTTCAAATTTTAATTACACATGACGGCATGAAATCAATTCTGTTTACATGCCAAAATGTAATGAAAAATCTGTCGCTTAAAATCTGTCGTGCTTAAAATACTTAAATATAAATATAAACGGAAATCTGAATTAAATATGATGTAAATACCAGATTGAATGTAATAAACAATTTGAAATTTTCATTATTGGAATACGCGGAAGGACACGGTGCGGTTCTATTATTGAAATATTACAGGCAGCTCATCAATCTTTAACTATGTCGTATCGAGAGATTGAACATGGATGAAAATCTGAGAGAACGCTGCGTAATGTAAGTGCTACTTACATTATGAATGTACACATTACTATTCGCGGATTAAGGACAGGCTGCGCCGCACGAGAAATTGTATCGTCATTTTCGAGATCGTGTTTGAATCCGTAGGGTTTTGAATCGAGAAATCTCGGAACGTACGAAAAGATCTCAGAATGGGGGGGGGGGGGACTTGGAAGAATTTCAAGATTTCGAAAAATTCAAGCGTCAAAGGTTTCGAGGAGTTGGAGGATTCTCGAATGCGATAACGTGCGATATTTTTCGCTAAATCGTAAAGCTTCGTATATCTTTGAATTTTATCACCGGCGCCGAGAATTTGCGCCGAGATAAAAAAACCATCCGTCTGCAGGCCGGCGATTTCTTTATTTAATAGTAAAATATCTCTCTCTCAAGATACTGAAATTTCATCAGAAGAATAGAGCGAAATAATTAACTTTAACAACAGTAATTAAGATTTTTCTTTATTAATTTGATTGTAGGAGAATTTAGTTTCTATAAAAATTTCTCTTTCCTTGCGGCGATTCGTTTCATCTTGATGATAAAAGTATCAGGATTCTTTCGATTGCTTCCCTCTAACATCCGGAAATCGGTTTCATAAGTTCGATGTGTCAATTTGATCGTAATTATGACGTAAATTTGATCAGTAGATTGGTGCCATTTGCGTAATAAAATACCGTCTCAATGTAAAAGGAGAAAAGTAATATGAAGGATCGTGTAATATTCGCGTTGAATTTTTTTAATGACGCTCTTAATTTAAGGATTGGATAATATTCAGTTACGTTTCCCGATGTTCCACTTTACCGCAAAAATTATAAAGATATCATTTTCCGAGCGTGCTTTACAATAGCGACGTCTTTTTCATTAATGAATCAAAAAGGGAAGAAAAGAAAAATAGGATAAACGAAGAAAATCTGACGATATCCGATATTTTAAACGTAATAAGTTCTCGGGGGGATTGAATACAGGTTGTTTCAAACTAACTAGATCTCGAGTGACTTTACAATTTCGATTACGCTTTTCTGAGCGAATTTGAGCGAGAGTCAGAGTTTTCTCGAAAAAGCAATTATTCAAAACATATTTGACGATTATTTATAAAAATAACAAAAACATTTTGATTAAATGTTCTTTTTAATTGATTGAAGATGGAGTTTATCGTCAAATGAATAATGTGAATTAATTGAACCCTGTCTCCATTTTAAATGTAAATTCTATATTGACTATTTTACAGCCATTGGTGATTAATCTTTATTCAATATACGGATAGTGACACGAATAGTTCAGAAAATGTTCGAAAATAAGAAAATAAGCGCGACATATTTCCCATGAGAAAGGATTATATATTTATCGATGGAAAAGAGGGAAAAACAGTTTTTTCCTGATATGTGAAAACTATTATAAGAGAGCAGAAATAGAATTTTATCGGGATACTCTGTACGCACTGTTTATCCAATATATTTTATTTATTCGTCAATGCAGAACTTGGAGAAGCGCCATTAAATCAGTTTATTGTTATATTTATTATTGAATCGCGACGCATTGTACTTGTAGTTTGATAACGAAGTAGAGAAGCTTACGGCTTTTCTTTCATGGAAGTACACTTCCTGAAGAAAAGCCGTCTTATGGATTCTTTTCCTCTCTCTCTTTCTCTCTCTTTTTCTCTTTCTCTCCCCTTTGCCCAATATCATGAATTCTTTATTCTCAAACATAAGATAAAATTATGATAACATTATTAAAAACTCAAACTTGTGGTCTCCCTCGATCAAGTTTTACCTCTTCGAGAATTTAATTTTATATGAAACAAAATAAGACTGTATGAAACTAATTCAAAAAAATTATATTAAAACAACTGATTTATTAAATTTTAGCTTAGCGATATTGAGAATTATATTATAAATAATTTTTAATGCATACGAAGAATTATTAGAATTAAAATTCTCAAAAGAAACAAATTTAGTACCAAGAGCATATAGAGAGTTTTGTGTAAGCGTAGGCATAGGTGTTTGGAGACTGCGACCGTTCACCGACGCTTGGATATTCACTGGTATATAATCCTGACGGAAGAGTTATGTCATTTTGCGAAGTGGAATATACAGAGACAGTGGAATATACAGAGAGAGTTTGCGATCTTGTTTTTCTTTGAGAGAATCGGCGAAACTAAGCGCAAGAGGCAGGCGGGGAGAGAGAGAGAGAGAGAGGAGGAGAGAGAGAGAGAGAGAGAGAGAGAGAGAGAGCACAAAAGGCAACCGCATAGTCGCATTATATCACACTAATGATAGCTCGACCATCGTGCTCTTGCTTGCCTCCGCATGCACAAGGGGGGGCAACAAGTGAGTGAGTGGGAACGGACGGTGGAAAGTTACATCAAAGTTGCCAACTCGCTCGGACGCAACCTTGTCGATATTAGTAGCGAAGTTGCTCGCGAACAAACTGTCGTAACTAGCAGGAATTTTCCAAAGATCTACCGTCCAGCCGACCCCCGCGCGGCGTGGAATCGCCGCCGTTCTTTCGTTCATTTAAAATCGTTCAACTCCCTTGAACTATAGAAACTTCTTGCACGTGAATGCGAAAATAGTTGGGGTGTTCGATAGGAAAAAAAAAAAAGGAATTAAATAAAAAGGGGAAAGGTCCCTCGCGGCTTCACTTACTTCTTGGAGACTAAATTTCTCGGTGGCTGAGCGTGTGCAAAAGAATTGCTATGTGTTTTTAATAAGAATACAATTTCCTTCCGACAATTTATTCTTCAATTCATAACGAGAATGAGAGATATGTGGTCGATATTTCGGAATGTATCATAATTTTTTAAGTGTCGCCGAATTATGAGAGAAAAAAAAATATTTTTTTAAGCTACTTTGAATCGGTTTTCGTATGTGTTAAATTTGTTAATTAGGATAATAAATATGTATAATAAGCCACGCGTTTATAATACATATATTATATATCTTATAATACATATTTTCCGTATTTTATCTTTTGTAGAGACTTTAAAAATGATTATTCGTAAGAATAAAAGTAACAAATTTATCAAATTGTATAGATCTTATCAGACTCAAAAAAAAAAAAAGAGAGAGTACTTTCCCGAACCGTTTCATTAAATAAATTAACTTTGCGTCTTAGAATATTTAGTCATTGTTAGATTTAATTTGAAATTTTATTTTAAATAATGTGTTTTTATATAAAGTGAAGTAATAAATGAATCTAATATGCGAAGAGCTATATTCTTCGAAAACTGAAATAATTTTTCTTGCCACAGATAATGAAGCATATTTCATTTTGATAATTAAATTTGGAAATATTTGATAATTTTCTAAATGGCCTTTAATAGAATTTTTATATTAAGAGCTATAAAAAATATACGCTTAATTAGACTTAATTAAACTTTAATGAAAAAAAAGTCGATTTCAATTTTTCGACAAGAAATATTATTCACCAAACAACATAAAATATTGTATACAAAATATTGTATACAAATATTGTATACAAAATAAAAATAAATATTCAAACTAGAATATTAATTACCTGGAATTATTAAACAATATTGCGACATCTTCCAGTGGAATCTTTTTTTTGTCCGTCCAAACAAGCAGTAAAAATATTTCTAGGGGGAACAACTATTATACTCTGTAGATATAGTCTGACCGTTTGATGTGTCGACGTTTCGTCTGTTGATGTTTCATATGTCGTTTTATTTGCCGATGTTTCCTCTTGACAAGCCCGAGGTGGAATTACAATAGCCGCCAATATCACGATTATCAGTAAAATGTTCACCGGAAACTTCATTTTCGAGCGATACTATAAACTCGATTTCTTAAATAATAAAAAGTCCGAAAATCAAAGTTAAAATATCGTTTACTTCTTACTTTTAAATTGTTCTCCTTCTAATTGTTTTAAATCTCAGTTTTTCTTTTTTAAATATCCCACTTATTCGAATTTTTTGTCAATTATCTTTTTATTCTTTGCTAATTTTATCAAATTTTTATCAGTCTTTTTCTCACTAACATGATCCTTCTCTTTGAATACGTAATAATTTCTGCAATCTGCCTGTTACGAGTCTCTCTTTTATATCTATCGCTTTGCGGAAGTATAATCGTAAAAACTGGTTATGGAACTAATAACGGCATTTCACGATCACATTTAAATAAGTCAGAAATTGCTATTCAAAAACCTTAGTTAGTGTGCATTATTAATTTTTATGTGTTATGTTTGAAAAAATAAAATAACATAACATTTGAAAATATAGCAAATAAAATGGAACAAACAGATATTCATGGGCGAAATGAAATTACACATAATGAATTTAAACATTTAAAATGAAGGAAAATTATACAGATTGTAAAGCTCAATAATTGTAAAGATGAAAATAATGGGAGTTTGTGCAAATTTCATTTTATAAGAGTATTTAGCTCTTATTTTATATTTTTTAGAATTACCTTATATCTTTATATATTATCCGGCGATTCGAAGAGAGCGTTTTTTTTCGAATTCTATAAGGAACACGTATGAAAAATCTGGCGCTA